TCGTTGATATTCAATATATTCTCTAAAATCTTGGGCAATTGTTTCGATTGTTTGACGCTTAAACATAAGCGTTTTATCCCATATTATTAAATATTGCTTTTCTTATAAATTTAGCACTATTGTTCTGCTTTGATATATTTGTGATGGTTATTTTCGTTGTTTGAAAAGGTATATCAAATCTAAAATAAGTTGTACGATCTCATAATAAAATTATCACTGGTACCCCACCATTATTATTGCTAATGGTATCATGCCTCTTTATCTCACATTTGCAAGTAATGCATGATATAGAAATATTATTTCGATTCCGCCGGATGCATCTGCAAAGGATAATCTCACTGTACCAGAGGCGACTCGTTATAATATAGTCTTGAAAGTTTGTTCTTGTTTAGGATTTATCTTTGATTATACTTCCTCGGACACTTGTATGGCCTTCTTAATACTATACTAATCTTTTTTCTTTTGTGATCTATATTTTTTAATCTCTAACGCTCTTTTTTATGAAATAAATTTCTGTACCTTAAGATTTTTTTTAACTTGAAAAGTAATTTTACTCATATGATGAATTTAAAAAATAATTGAATAGGATTCTCTTTCTAAATAATTAATTGAAATATTTGATTATTTGGTCTTAACATAAAAAATAATTTATTTTCTGTTGATTTAGATTCTTAATATTAGTTCATTTCTTGTTTTGAATATTTAATCATAATTATAATTTTATCCACTATAAAATTTATTCTTAAAGAGTAAAAAAATCGATATGACATTCCACTTTTAGATCTTTATGTTTGCAGAATCATTAGTGGTATTACCTCTTGCCAACTTTCTCTTTCTAACACATTTATATTCTTAAAAATTTTCTTAGTTGTTCTTTAATAATTAGGTATATTTTTTAATATTACACGAAAAATTAATAATAATAAAATATTATTTGAGTAGGAAAGCAGTTTAAATATAATATAAAAATATAATATCGTGGGGATTGTTTTCTTAATTTTAATGCTTTATGCGGTCCATTTAGCATTATTTTTATTTTTTCTTGATATTGGATATTATGGAGTGTTAATGTATTACCAATCCGTAGGATTCTTATGAAATTGATTTTATTAAACCTTCCTACATATTTAATAAGAATTCAATGGACAAAATTTTGTTAATTTTAAAATTTTAAATATTAAAAAAAATTACAATAGAAGTTATTGTAGTCCAAAAATAGATTATTGCAATTATGTCCTTTCTCGATGAGTTCTTCTATTTAATATTTTAAGACTATTTTGGTCTATTAATATTGTATTCGTAATTTTATAATAATATAGGCTCTCATTTTTCTAAATGGATTTGGACAATATAATACATTCTCAATTTTAAATTAGTAATAGAACAATATAATACGTTTTCAAATTAAATTAGTAATAGGAATTTTTTAAGAAGTATATTCTAAAAGCAATAGGACTACATGGCTAAAAATATATCTATATCCCGAAAATAATTGTACTAATAGAAAATCTAATGTGCTCCTAAAGGTATTAGGTTTACATGCTAACATGTAGTAATATATATCTATACCCTAAAATAATTATACTAATAGGATTCATAAAGATAATCATGTATGATTCCTAACGTGTAGTATTATGTCCTAAAACAAATAGGATTACAAAGTTAATATCTAGAATTCCGGTTATATCCTTTTATTATGAGTTATTATGCTTAACATTAAAAGGTTATTTTTGTAAATCAACATTATATTCACGCTTTTATAATAATATAGATATAGATAGGATTATAATTTTAAAGTCCTAAATATTAGGACTTTTTACATAGTAGTCAATAAGGAAAGATTTAATAAATAAAATTATATTTGATTTTAAAGTCTTAAATATTAGGAAAGTAACTTAAATTACTATTTTGTCCAATGTAAAATTCGTTTTTAAAAGGTGAAAAAAAGGCGAATGACATTTCGTTAAGGGCGTCGTGTTTTTAATATAGTATAGATTAAGCCTACACCAAAAAGCTAAAACAGTTGGATAAAATGTCTTAAGTCTATGTAGTGGATTTGAAGGTCGGAGGTGCACTTTTGAATTAAACCAAAATCCATTTTTTATATAGGGTGTTCACTACTAATATATCACTATTTTCTAAAAACGTATATATGTATACATAAAACTTTTGCCGGGTGCCGAGTGCCGGTTACCCCTCTCGGTATAGCATAGGTCCGCCTCTCGACGCACCAACTCAAGTAGCTGAAATGGAGATTTGAAACAAATGAAACTGTGTAAAGCAATTAAAACAGGAATCGAAGGTATTAAGTCCTCCGATTTTATCCATTGATCTTTCTGTGCTTAAATCTCGGAACTAATTTCTGTTACCAAATTTAAAAAAAGAATTTCAAATCTGTTTATTAAAATGAGTTGACTACAGATGAAAATTTGCAGAAGTTCCCAAGTCAGCCAGTCAAGAGCAGTCGGCATATTTCAAGTCACTTCCCAGTATATAAAAAAATGACATTTTTATTTCTTTTTGTTGTCAAATGCCAACAAGAAGTGTAAGCTGTAACGGAGGGGCGGGGGGAGGTATATTAAGGGTTGATTCGTTTCGAGTTATAAAAGTAAAAGAAATAATCTATATGATTTAGTAATTTTAAGTAAAAAATTGTTATGTAACTCAATTTTTCAGTCTATTTCTTCTCTTTCCATCATGCATACAAGGACTCTGATACTTCCAAACTTGGAAGTAGGGGGTAATCCATTGATTCCGAAATGATGAGTACAAAGGGAAAACACTCCAACTTACTTTGCCCGTTGTTTACTCAATATTCTGACATAAAAGCTACATAAGTTGTACTTTATTAGAATTTACATATTTGAAAAACTAAAATTTTCAACCTTTTTATTAGTAGAAAGTATTTTAAAAAATGTTTGAAGACAAGTTATCAATTTTTAGACTCCAAATAGTAATAATGTTTCAACAAGTTATTAAAAGAATTATCTTGGTGAATAAAATTAAATGGTGCCTGAGCTGTTGGGAAGATAGTCGATTTTCACAGAATTCGAGGTGCTCACAACAGTCTAGACATCACTATTATAAAATAAATAAATAATAAAAAGACAGGAAAAATGTGTTACCTTAAGATATTTTTAATGGAAACGTATAGTTATCAACCAATAAAGAAAAGTAAGAAAAACAAATAGTCAATCTTACAAGTGATCTCATCAGACGTCTGTATCAAGAAAGCGGCATCACTAATAGAAAAACTCACCAACATAGCATCTTCCTAGTTAGCCCATTTCCACAGAAGACCAATACTCAACAGCGCAAACCAAACTTTACCAATTACTGCTAATCCCAAACTAATTGGGATAGCAAATTTCATATGTGAATTTTCATATGAATTCAATTCTTAAGAGCTTACCTTTGCTTTTTCTTCTCCATGTGTAAATCCAAGAAGAAATTAAGCAAAGAAGTAATGGAACCAAAGCAGAAACCAAGAAGATCTTCCTCTTCATCAACCAAAAAGTTATCATCTTTCACTGATCAATCATCATCATCTACAAGCCAAAATTTAATATCCCCAAATGGGTCTACTACAAGTTTCATCTTCAACAATTTCAACAACAACAACAACAACAAAAACTCTCAATCATGGGCTTCTTCATCAAAATCAAGTCGCCATTCTTTATCAAGTCTTAAAGGAGCATTATTATTCCCAGAACAACCTCATATCTACAACTTCTCAGAAATTCGTTCCGCTACCCAAAACTTTTTAAAAGATCCACTTTCGTCCTCGTCGACTTCCACTTCCTGGCGCTGCCTCCTCCGTGATCAAAACGTCGTCGTAATACAGCGAAAATTCCGCCGGAAAATGGAAACCGATGAGGTAATTGAACACGTGGCAATGATTTGTAGAAGCCATCATTCTAGTTTAATCCCGCTTAAAGGAGCTTCAGTATCTGGTAATTATATTTATTTGGTATATGAATATACTCAAGGAGTTAATTTATCAGAAGCTTTACGAAATCCTAGAAACCCTAATTTCACAGTTCTTTCGAATTGGATATCGAGGATTCAAATTGCTTCTGATATTGCTCATGGTTTAGATTACATTCATCATTCTACCGGTTTAGGTTTAGGGTTTGTGCACAATCACATTAAAAGCACAAGTATTATAATTACTGAGCCCTCGTTGCATGCAAAAATCTGCCATTTTGGTACGGCGGAGCTTTGCGGGGAGACCCGGAATGAAATCCAAGATCCGAATAGTGAAGTCGGGCCGAAGAAAGCGCCCGAATTGAAGAAATGTGAAAGTAAGGGCTTGAAATTTGAGGGGACGAGAGGGTATATGGCGCCGGAGTTTCAGTGGACGGGGATGGCGACGGTGAAGAGTGACGTGTACGCTTTTGGTGTGGTGGTTTTGGAGTTGATTTCGGGGAAAGAGGCGGTGAAATACGAGGTTGATGAGGAGAGCGGTGGGTATACTAGGGTTTCGGTGATCGAGACGGCGGCGAAAGCGGCGGAGGACGGCGGTACAGGCTTGAGGGGGTGGGTGGATAGGCGGTTGAAGGATTCGTACCCGGTGGACGTGGCGGAGAAATTGGTGCATCTCGGATTGGATTGTGTGGAGACTAACCCGAATAACAGACCGGATATGGGTCGGGTTGCGGGTCGAATTTCGCAGATGTATTTGGAGTCACAGACTTGGGCTAAGAAGTTTTCTCCGCTTACTGACTTTACTGTTTCTTTAGGACCTCGTTGAATAATTTTGCATTTTTACTAATTGTTTGTTCTTTTGTTTCATTTTTTAGTTGAAATTTTTGGTATCTTATACATTGACTATACCTCGAAATGTAAATCGAACATAGAATATTTTTTAAAATGGAACTCTAGTTTGTATTTTTAATGAGTTTATCTTGTTTTCTCCTTTTTACTTTTAAGACAAATTAAAGGTTCATTTTAAGCAAGACTTCATAAATCTGCCATCAATCTTCTGGCTAAAGAACAAATACAGAAATGAAGGCATCTTCGTGCCCTATTTAAAATTATAACGTAGAAAGAAAAGAAAACAAAGACATCATGATGTTGGCACAACTAATGTGATTTTCTCGCTACAATAAACTCATTGCTTTATGAGATCGCATACTCCACAAATTCAGTGTTCGTCTATCTATAGGCTGCATTGTACCCGTACATGTCAAAAAGCCTATCATCTGAAATCATATGTCCACTCTCTCTCCCTTGAAAACTCTCCATTTGTGAAACCCAAGGACCTGGATTCGAAACGTTAGAGCTAGAGGCTTCTTGGTTCACGTTTTGTGAGTTATTATTCTGGTCTGTGTTCCCGGCTGCCCTCTTGTTGGAAGAGTTGGTTGTTGTCAGAGATATAGATGCTGACTGTTGCTGCATTTGCTGCTGATTCTTCATTGGCGACTTGGGCCGAAGAGCCTCTATTTCAGGTGTTGTAGTAACAAGATGTGGGGCGTCTGGTGGTGGATTCCTTCCTCCCCCTCCCTGCCAGACTTTTCCATCCCTATCGGCAAAATTCCGCAAATAGGCCTGAAGTTTTCCAAAGTCCTCAGTCAGCACGTTAAGACACAAAACATGACCAAGGTAGCATAATACATGCAAAGTAAATTATTTAAGTGTACAGATAAGCCAAGCTTTTGATGTTTAAACATGCGTAGGAATCAGGTTAAAATTACCATCTTTCTTTCCTAATAAAGACTATATACTGAAGTATATCATTGAGAGAACACAAAGAAAAACTAATAGGGCAGAATAATTAAGCACGACTGATGCATGCTGAGAAAAGTGGGAATCAGATCTCATGACGAAATGCATACTTTTTCTGTCTTCTCCACCCCCACCCCCCCAAAAAAACCACAAATCTGAGAGGTCATTTTTTGGGGGTTGGGGTTGGGAAGACAGCAATGTCTCATACTCAAAAATAAAATCAACAAACTAAAGGAACGGTAGCGGCTAAGAGTTTACCTCTGCACTAAAGTTTGATGAAGATAACCCTTTACCAACAGTCAACCAGCCAGATCGAATATTATGGTCTTCGCCAAAGAGCTCAAGCCTTCTCCGGCCAAGTGCAAAATGCTCAATTATACGGTACATATCTTCAGGCTTTGCACTTGAACCTGCGCAAAGTGACCAATAGCACTTCAAAATGAGCTCAGCCACTGTGCATACCCACCAGTGCAGAGATACAATGCAGCTTATTATGTTAACATTTCATTCATTGCAGGACAGATTTAAAAATTAGCAGAGAGAGTACAAGATAATAAAAGATTACGTGCATTTCATGCATCACAGGATAGTGTTACAACTTCTATACTTTCTCCCGCAGCCAGTAATAGCTGCTACATAACTGGGGAATAGCAGACCAATCAAACAAGGACTACCATCACTTGCACTAAGAGAGAAAAAGCTGAAGGTTTTGTTCGAAACATGTTCATACAGAATTCTAGTAAAATCCAGGTTTCCACTAAAAGGCATATCCAACACCACAACCAGCCCGAAAGTATACAGAAAGCCCAAAAAAAATAAAAAAAAATAAGAGAGAGTAAGAAGAGCAATTCATAAGACAGAATCTGCACCCCATCTGTCTCTTCTCGTTTTATGAGTAAACCAAATGAGAAGAAAAACACTAACAGGAAAAGGAAAAAGCATCATTTAAGGTAGGGAGAATCCATCAACCCCAAAAGGGACAGTCTCTCCCTTATAATGAGCTAACAAGATGAGACTGGAAAAAAAAATTCCATTTTGTTATGTAAACTAGTGTATTCACAACAGGAAAAGGAAAAAGCGTCATTTGAAGTTAGGAAGAATCCATCAACCCCAAAAGGGACAGTCTCTCCCTTATAATGAGCTAACAAGATGAGACTGAAAATAAAACTTCCATTTTGTTATGTAAACTAGTGTATTCACAACTTAAAATATATCTTACTGTTAAATACAAACAACTATAAATGTGTGTTTGTGTGTATCACTTGAGAGAAATCCACATTTTCAAATTGGTGCTGTTACGTCACCCTCAGCAGTCTCTGCCAGTATCTTATTTACATAGGAAAACAAACAATTGGACAGTGGATGAACAGATGCAACATAATCAGTTTCTGCAATCATATATTTCTTGACTAACATTTCTAATCTGCACAAAGCAAACATAAAACCCCATACAGAGTTGTCTGGAATGAGAAAGAATCTACCATAAGGAGGTTCTTCGGCAATAATCACATCTGTGTCAATATTTGCATGAATTATATGGCCATCCGTACTACGGCGAACAGTTCCTCTTATACCCAAAAGGCAGTGCTCCTATACCATGACAGAGAGTAGCAGAACATAAGTTATATATGATGGAAAAATACACGGCAGTGCTCCTATATCATGACAGAGAGTAGTAGAACATTAGTTATATATGATGGAAAAATACACACGTGGAAAATGAGAAGACAGAAGTTAAGAACCTTCGAACGCTGAAATAAAGTATGGGAATCATGCCGTAATCCTGGAGTTGCATTGGTTTTATTTGTTTTCACCCAACATATGTCCTCACACCTGCGGAATCCCCACTGCACAATGCAGAAAACAACGTATAAAATAACCAAAATGACCTATTATTGAAAATTGCAATCAACAAATGCCTCTGTTTATAATTGTCCTTATCTGTGTGTGTGATAGACGAAGGGCAGCAGCAGAAGGAAGATATCAAACGCACCAATCAGCAGATTCAATACCTTAGAGTGTTTCTCAAATTGTTTAAACTACATACCTTTTTCAGACATTGACGCCCTTGCTCAAGCCCCACACCGTCACCAACCCAAAGGAAAACAAATGATGGAGTGTCAGCAATTGCCTGAGAACAGACAGTTCACACCATATTTAGGCTCGGAAAGGAGAAGCTGACAGGACAGAGTGAAGAACCCACGACTATGCAGCCACTTAAAAACCAATAAAGGTATAACTGTATAAGTCAAAATAAATGTTGCTTATAACAAATAATTTGCACCTGAGGTTCTCCACATCCTACTCTAAAGCAACAGTAAAGGTATTAGTAAAGAACCGNAAATGTCCAGTACGCCATATGGTCAGTGACACCAGGAGCTCGATGAACATATTCCTCCCATGGGGGGTCTATTAGAATGACATCAAATTTGGTCCCAAAAAACTCCGGGGAGAGCTCCTGCTCAAGCAGATCACATTTGTAATACATGGGAGGCGAAGCAGATTTGACAACAATCTCATCCTTCCTTTGAATAAGTTCTCGAAGTTTGGGATAGTCCTCAACAACACTGGTAAGCTCTAGTTCCCTGATGAAATTTTGAGGCCTCGTGCCAGTATCTACAAAATTTTGGGAGTAATCATTCTGCTCACCCCTAGAAGGAGCTTTGCCAGGTGGTGCATTAGTTCGAGGAGGAACCCAACCTCCATTAGGTTTATCTTGAGCCTGTCCCCGACCTGCTGGTATTAGGACACTAAAATTTGAACCAGACATGTTAGGTGGCGCCCCTCTTCCAGGGCCTGGTTGATTAAAAAACATAGCATGATTTGGCAGATTCCCCAAATTAGAGAGAAATCCAGTTCCGGGCGGAACAGGTGGGAGTCCAGGTGGAACACCTAGCATATTCATCTCAACACCTCGGGCTCCAGGCCAAACCACAGGAGGTGAAAATGGAGGAATGAAAACACCGGGGGACATAGGAGGACCTGGAGCAGGTGACATGTTAGGAGCTAAAGATTGCACAGATCCAGGTGATGGCATTCCAAGTGGTCCAAAAGGTGATCCCATCATTGGCATTGGAGGTCCGAACTGGTGGCCATCCCTTCCTGTAGGCCTCCCTCTTCCTCCTCTCCCAACCCTACTTCCTTTAGAAC